AAAAATCGAATGCCATACTTAATGTTACCTGTACGAGCACTTCATTTAACTTCTTCAAATATGCTCTCTGCTTTGCCATTGATACATCATCTGACGACGTTTTGATAACTACCGCTACAATATATTTTCGGATTCCTAAGCAGCAATATGAGTACGGAGCCAGAAACACATGTTGGCAAAAGCATACCCAATCGTTGCCCCTCCGGAAGTGCTTTCCACATCGATTTAATTAGTTTCTCTAAAATAATGAGAGCAACAATCTGAAACAATTGTCATCAGGACTCTATCTGAATACCGGAAATCATGATATTCACCTTTGTCTCCTGGAACTGGGCCCGCTCCAAAATTGCGTCTACACGTTTCCATGATTCCGGATGTTCTTGGAATTGGTTCAAAACTCCGAGCGCGCGAGCTTGCGCCTACCCAGGGATCATAAATGAGTGAACTGATCCGATAAAGTAGCAATATCTCGCATTCCATCCACGTTCCCACCATCAACCAGCCAAAAAGAAATCTGCACAGACAGGTATCGGCTTAAAACGTATAAATCAACGTTCGCCACTGATACTGCCCTTTCGACCTGACAATACCCACATGCACCCCCACAAACGCCCAAACCCGCTCGCCGAGGTCCAAACCGGTTTCGTGAAAATTATCAAATTATTACCTCCCCGAAGCCGCCCAGTGCAGTTTTGACAACTTGGTCAAGGAGTCCGATGTCGAGATCGGTCGAAAAGTCCAAAATTCCTTCCATCGCAGGGCCAGCAAGCTGTTTTGAGAACAAAAGTATGAAACATTGTGAGTTTCTCTTCCGAGTTCAAGCCCGCGCTCTTGTGACTTCCATCAAGAAAAGTCGAATGCTTATGTCTCACAAAACTCATCGGCCAGGGCGTCCATACCATGGGCGATTAATTGTGCAGCAGCGGGCTAGTCCGATACGGCATACACCAAGTGCCCCGACAAAAAAAGATTACGAATTTGAGGTTTTGTGGGTTGCAGATGTCCAAACGCGTTTTCAACACAGTGCCGAGTTGCAATTTGACAAAAATTCCCCGCGCGGGACTCCCTTTCACAGTTGGGCTCGAGGAGGGGGGCAGTATGTGCAGCAACGCGGTGCAGGTGCAGTGCAGCGGCAAGGAATGTTGAGGTTGATCGGCACAAACAAAAGCTCACAGGGAAACGCGGGGGAAAAGTAAAAAGCCAAATATGGGCATATTGCGACACGGCGGTCATGTGGATTAATTAGAGGGTCTATTGTTGCGTATATTTGATTTTGTTGGAAAGCACATTGTGGTCCATCACCTGGAGATCAACGAGTCTGAGAGTGGGTGAAAGCGAGTTTAGTAACATGTTGTGATTAATCATCGCGAATGCTCACCCTGTCAGATACGATGCCAGCGTGAACAAGTCTTCGCTTCGTTTGGGGATGGTTTCCTGTTTCATTGGCCGAGTGACTGCCTCAACTATCCACACAGAGTCTAATGAATCCAATGGTGTTGCTGACGCGATATCGTGTGGTACTGGGACCTTGCGTCTGTGTGAGCGCCGGTATTAAACCAAAAACATCCACTCTAGTACCTGGAATATTCGATATATCAGCACAAACATCCCGTTGAACGCAAACCGAAAGCCCTTTCGAATGAATTCAAAGGTCCGCCTAACATAGAAAGTAAGTGGACTTTCCAATTTGAGGTGTAGCTTTGAAGACGCACGTATAGCCAAGCAACTCGACAAATGCAAAAGCGTCCCCGTCAACTTCAATATCGAAGATCGAACGATAATTTGCGAGTGGTTGTCCAGGCCGAGGCGGCTCCGGTGGCCCGTACTGGCACAGTCTCCTAAACCCAGCGAAAGGTTTCAGCGATCTGATGTCAAATCATCTTTGTGCAATACCATTTTCTGTCCCTCATGTTTACGCCAACATCATTCAATAAGTCGGTCTTCAATCGTACAACCATGTCTTCGTTACGAGCAGGCCCGAATGGGGTGGCCACTATATGATGCAGCGATTGAGTTCAAAACAGTAGATAACCGTAATGTGATATTCAAACCCGCTGGCCAGTATACGATTTCATTCTCTGCAAAGTTCTGTCCTCCATCGAACGAAACATTTCCACACACACCGACCAGTCTCTCCAGCAGCGTAGGCAGCATTGCGTCTGCTATGATCCCATGCATCGAGCATTGAAAGTACGCTGTATGTGCAAACCCCTCGCCCCCTAATCTCTTTGTTGGCAGTGTTCCTGTGCTGGCCATTTTGTGGTGGTCAGCCCTCCATTGGCTGAACGTGGCTTTTAGCGCAGAAAAGGTCAGCGAATCTGGAGAACACTCTTGCAAAGCGAGAATCATACAAACTGACACTGCGGAATCACTCTCTCGCATCCAGAAATACCCTCAAACTCGTTCTTATCTCGAAACGCGTGAAATATTGTGCTCATAGAAGATCATGGTAGAAGCACAGCGATCAACTCCGGCCGCTCCAGGCGCAAAGCAGGGTGCTTTCAAAGATAAGGAAAAGCCTGCCGAAGTCAGGTCTTCAAACATCGTCGCCGCAAAAGGTGTGTTGTTCGAACTCGCTGGCTATTCCGCGCAGTATAATGATATACGCCTTGTAGCTGTTGCCGATGCTGTAAGAACGAGTTTGGGACCGAAAGGGATGGATAAGATGGTGCGCTCGTTGATGGACGTGGTGGTTTTGAACTTCGACCAACGCCAGCAATTTTGTAGATCCAAGGAGCAACCGGTGAAGTGTTGATTACAAACGATGGCGCGACAATTTTGAAGCAAATGTCTGTGATGCACCCGGCGGCAAAGATGGTTGGTTGTTCGGTGTGTTACGAAAATTTCTATTCTGATGGCGGATTTGGCAGCTTGTTGACCTCTCACACGCTCAAGATGTTGAGGCTGGTGATGGAACTACCTCCGTCGTGGTGCTTGCTGGCAGCCTTCTCAACGCTGCTGAAAAGCTTCTTGACAAAGGTAAATCTTGACTACCTTTTCTCTTGTTGATTTGTCAGATTCGCCTCTGCTCTCAAGGAATCCACCCTACTACAATCGCTGAATCGTTCCGCCGTGCGGCAAACAAATCCGTTGAATATTTGACTGAGATGTCGATGTCCGTCGACCTCAGTGATCGCGAATCACTCCTTAAGAGTGCAACCACTTCACTTTCCTCAAAGGTATGATCGGTATGTGAATAAATCCCTGATGGATTTACGTCACATCAAAAATAGATCGTTTCCCAGTATTCCAACTTGCTCTCTCCCATCGCCGTGGACTCAGTTCTTCGCGTAATCGACCCCTCAGTTTCAAACAACGTTGACTTGAACGACATCCGAATTGTAAAGAAGGTCGGCGGGACGATTGATGATACAGAGTTGGTCGATGGATTGGTCCTCACCCAGAACGTGATCGGGAGTGCCGGTGGACCCAGCAGGATGGAGAAGGCAAAGATCGCATTGATCCAGTTTCAGCTTTCACCACCAAAGCCTGACGTAAGCCTCATCAGAAAGCCCTTTTTTGATTTCAGATTCTGACCAACACCAAACTTTCAGATGGATAACACCATTATTGTGAACGATTACAGGCAGATGGACAAGATTTTGAAAGAGGAGAGGCAATACCTGTTGAACATGTGCAAGCGCATCAAGAAGACCGGCTGCAACGTCCTTCTGATACAAAAATCGATCCTGCGTGACGCCGTGAACGACCTTTCGCTTCACTTCCTCGCAAAACTGAAGATCATGGCAATCCGCGACATCGAACGTGACGAAATTGAGTTCATCTGCAAGGTGAAAACAACTTCGCATTCTCCACTAACCTCCCATCTTACTAAAATTCTTTTTCAATTCAGAGCACGGGATGCAAACCCATTGCCGACATCGAATCCTTCTCCGAAGACAAACTCGGAACCGCCGAGCTCATCGAAGAAGTCGAGTCCGCCGGCGCCAAAGTCGTCAAAGTCACCGGCGTCAAGAACACCGGCAAAACCGTTTCGGTCCTCGTCCACGGCGCTAACGGCCTCGTCCTCGAGGAAGCCGAGCGTTCGCTCCACGACGCGCTTTGCGTTATTCGCTGCCTCGTGAAGAAGCGCGCGCTTATTGCTGGCGGTGGCGCTCCCGAGATCGAGGTAGCGAGGAAGCTTGCGACGTACAGTAAGACGCTGACGGGAATGGAAGCGTACTGCTTCGCGGCGTTCGCGGAGGCGCTTGAAATTATTCCGACGACGCTTGCGGAGAATGCTGGGTTGAACCCGATCCAGATCGTGACAGAGCTGAGGAATCGGCACGCGCAGGGTGAGACTGCGGCTGGGATCAACGTCCGCAAGGTGAGTATTTTGTGGGGGGATCTTTGTCCATTAGGATGATGAACGGAATCCTTCGGAATAGGGAACTATCTCGAATATCCTTGAGGAGAACGTGGTGCAGCCGCTGTTGGTTTCCACCAGTGCCATTGAACTTGCGGCAGAAACTGTCAAGATGATCATGAAGATTGATGATATTGTTGCCACACGATGATCTGTACTCTTTTGATAATAGTATACATGATAAAATCATGCACGTGCACATTTTTTACAAGCAATTTAAAATCGTAGCGGATTTCTGTGAGCGGTTACTCGGCCCAAATGCTGGTCATAGAATTGTCAGGACGACACTGGTGGGCAAGAGATTGTAGTTGCCCACCAGTGTCGTCCTGACAATTCTAAGTATTCCTTTTGTGATCGCACTACGAGGGGGTTTTTCGCTTTATTTATTTTCAAACAATTGTGCAGGAATTACTCAATCATCAAAGACCACACAATAGAATATCCGAGATGCTGGAATGATCCCCACATTGCAGAAGTCAAGACGCGCAGTCAGGAGGAATGAAGTAACACGAGTTGGGAGAAAGACAACTGGGAACAATAATAAATAAAATTTTACCTAGGATCAATGACCTTAACAAGTAAGAATAATGATGACTCAAAGATTTTGCCCTCCGTCTGGAGGCTCCAGTCTACATGGAGAATGCGGTGATCGAAACCACGGCCTTTTGTATGCAAAACAAACGCGCTACCACTGCGCCAATTCCCCACACATTAAAAAAAAAAAAAAAAAAAACAAGCAAAACCTCATAGTGGTGTAGTCGGTACGAATGCGACTTTTCGAAGCTAAACTCCGCGGTTCGAATCCTATATGGGACTGGATTCGAATTTCCTACGAAATATATCTCTCGCACTATCGTGTCACGTGCAAGTACCGCGCCACGCCTCCTTCGATTCGCCATTGCCTTCGCTCCTCTTTCCTACGGCTCGCACGGCTCCCCAAGTACTGAAGATTCCAAATCTTGGTTGAAGTACACGTGGGTGACATGTACTGATTAAGCATTGTCAATACATGTTATAACATTCAAAAAAAAAAAAAAAAAACTCTCTCTCTCTCTCTCTCTCTCTCTCTCCGCGCCGCCCGCCGCACCCCCCGCTGTGCCCCCTGATGGAATTTCTGGTGGCACCGTGATTTTTGAGGCCCGTTCGCACCCCCGTGCCTCCTCTGTTGAAAATTCCGCTCCACAGCTTCCATTCTCCGCTCCTGCCTCTCCAATTCACTGGGCCGATGATGTGAATATGGGGGAGGATGAAAATGCCGAATCACGTGACTTCCGATCACGTGACCGAATCGCCAAAAGACCTGCTGAACATGAATTGCCCCGTGGTCGCTCCCGTTCTCGTTCTCGATCACATCTGCCGGGTGTCCGGGTTCTTGCTGCTGTGGCTGCTCCCTCGAGTGTTGCATCTCTGGCCGATCTCCGTGTCGTTCTCACTCAGATGCGATCTGTTTGTGCAACCTTTGATCCGTTGGCGATGCTGGATCCTATGCTTGCACATTTGCCGAGGGACACTCCTGCTGAATTTTTTAGTGTTTGTCGTGATATGGCCGAGGATCTGGCGGGTCGCTTTGGGAGGCTGCTGCCTTCGCCTTCACCTCCGGTTGCCCCTGTCTCCCGCCATGATGATGTGGCTGCGCCTGTGTGCCTTCCCCCTAGACAACTACATGGTAATTCTCAATTCAGGACGATCTTGGGAACTCTGGTGCTCCTGGCCCTCGCCCCCCGTCTAGTCGACCTGCCCCACGTGGACCTCGTGGTCCAAGAACTTATGCCGCTGCTGCTGCCAATGCCCGTGCCCGTGTGCTTGAGAGTCTCCCCACACTGAGTGCTGAATCTCGTACAGAAGCTGTCAGGACTGCCCTTGCTGGTCGTGACCCCACTTCGAATGTCAGCCTTCGTGGCCCTCGGCCTGTCGTATTCTATCCTCCGACCTCTCCGCTGCTGGTCTCCCCACCTGCTGATCTTCAGGCCCGTGTGGATGATTTGACCACTGTGTACATCAAGGACATCATGAGACAGCGGCTCGGCTTTGTGCGGACCATGCTGAGGGCTCTCTTGGGCGATGAGGTGGTGGTGGTATCCGCCACATCAGTTTCGTTGGTCGCAACATTGCTTCCTTTATCTGTATTCGCTCAACTGCAATTGCTCTCCGTGCGCACTTCTCCACCCAGGAAGCTTCCACTGACGAATCAAACCCTGACTTTCTTCGCCGAGCCTCTACTCTGCCTTTGGAGCAGCGGGAGGCTGCGGTCAGGGAAGTTGTCCACAAGAGATATGCACATATCCTCAGTTCAGTTACTGATCCTGCTATTTTCCTGTATGTCTGTGGTCAGCTCCCCATGGATGCTCAGGAAACTGTGCTGGACAGTGCCCGCGGGATTGCGCGTCAGCCTCGCTCAACCCATCTTCGTCAATGATTAGTGTTCGAGTTGGTACCTTCAATTGTCGAAATTTGAGCTTTGGAGTTCTTGATTCACTGTTTCGTTTTATGCGCGCAAATCACATTGTTTTTCTGCTCCTGACTGAAACACACCGTTTTCCTTTAGACCCGCTGCCTTCCCCAGATTTGATTTTTGACACTCGTTTTTCTCCTGGGTTATCGGGTACACGACGGGCTGGTGTGGGAGTCTTGATCAATCGCAGTCTTTGTAGAGCTTCTGATTTCCGTCTCGTTTCTAGTTATGGTGGCACCTCTCTATGGTTTACATTTCGTGGGCTTTTGGTTGGAGGGTATTATTTGCCTCCGAGTGGTATTGCTCAGGACCCCTTCCTTGAGAGGTTTATTGCTTCGCTTCCTCAACATGTCCCGTCGTCTCTGTGCCCTGTTCTTTTGTTGGGCGATTCAAATGCCCGTTTTTTAGCTACTGGTGATCATTCTTCAAATCGTAGGGTTAGTGGCCTTGCGACGGAGCTACTTACTTGCTCATAAGCACTTTTTAGCCGTTTCTTCCTGTAATGATCCTGATCCTGTTTTAGTTGAGTATTGCCGCTTGGAGCGTGACCGGCTATCGCGTGAGCGTGTCAAAGCTTTTCGTACTTGGTCTCTTTCTCAGCGAGCTCAAGAGGCTTCTGGCGACAATGTGTTTTGTTCTTCTCCTAGTTCTTTAACCGAGGTTAGCAAAGTTCTTTCCACCACGCGTAGGTGTCATCAACGGCGCTCAGCTGCAAGTGGTTTATTGTCTGATCCTGCCTCTTTATCTCATTATCGCAATCACTTTGCCTCCGTTTATCAGACTCAGTTTGCACAATCCTCTGCCAGTGCAGAACACGTTCGTCTACATGCGCTGAATGATTCTGTGTCAGTTAGTGTTAGTGACTTTGTTTGTGCTATTCGTTCTTCCCCAAACAACTCTGCTCCTGGCCCAAACCATATTCCAGCTGAGTTATTTAAGCCGTTAGCTTCTGATGTTGCTATCCTTTTTGTTCAACTTTCAAACGCTATTTTCCGTTCAGGTTTGTCGCCCTCTGCCTGGAATGCTGGCTTGTTGTTACCTGTTTGGAAGAATAAGGGTTCCATTGGTGATATTAGTCAGTACATTACTTTAACCAATGTTGATAGAAAAATCTTTGAGCGTACCCTGCTTCCTATGCTTGTAGCTTATGTTGGTAAACTTGATCCCGCCCAAGCTGGTTTCCAGGCCAATCGTTCAGCTGTTGAGTGTGTTTTTGCATTAGATGCTACCCTTCGACAGGCTTCCCGCACTGCTCTGCCTTATTGTGTTACTTTCTTAGATATTAAAGCAGCGTATGATACTGTGCATAGGCCTCTTTTGTGGGAACGTCTTTGTCAATTTCCCAGAATTCCAAACCGTTTGATCTCTGTTTTGATGAGTATGCTTGATCGTTGTTCTTCTCAGGTTGTTATAGAGAATCGTTCTTCTGATTTGTTTTCGCTTCCACAAGGTCTTTTTCAAGGTTCTGTTTTGTCTCCGTTCTTGTACTCAGTTTTCATCAATCCTTTAGCACAGCTCCTTCGTCGTGAATCCTCTCATCTTGCTAGGTTTTCTTATAACACTCCTGTTTTCAATTCGTTGTTATTTGCTGATGACATAGCTTTGTTTTCTGCCACCCCTGAGCAAGCCCAACGTGCATTGAAAATTTGTGAAGATTGCTTTAGCTTCTCATTTTGTGTTTTCACCTTCAAAGTGTGCTGTGTTATCTTCTCAACGGTTACCCACCCCCTTGAAGCTTCATGACTCTGCCCTCCCTGTAGAGGTTTCATTTAGATACCTTGGTCACTATTTTACTATTGCAGGGTTTGATCTTGCTGCAACTATTGATCATCGCTTAGCGAAAGCTCGTGCCTCATTGCATCTTTTTGCACCTTATGTCTCGTACTTTGGTGGGTCTGCTCCTCGTGTTGCCAGGTTGTTGTTTTTGTCTTTTATTAGACCTTCACTTGAGTTTGGTTTAGCACTTATTCGGCCTTCCACTGCTCAGCTTCAGGTACTCGAGCGTTTTTGTTATCATGCACTGTGTCGTCTGTTTTCGCTAGCCCATACCACTTCGCGTGTTGGTTTGTTTCTGTTAGCGCAAATTCCTACTTTTGAGTTCAGGCTGAAGTAAGGTTCGGCGGGTCCGGGTGTCCGGGTTTCAGTGGCGACCCGCACCAAACCCTTTGGGTCGGGTCGTGTTTGTCTGGGGACCCGCCGGGTCACTGACGGGTACAAAGGGAATACCCGGACCCGAAGTGGTTGAAACCCGTACCCGACCCTGACCCGCCGGGTTTTTGCTGCCCAGGAGAGGATTGATTGAATTTTGAGTTAGACCACGGATATTTACATGAACACTTTGTGTCTGTGTGGACAGTGTGTATTTTAGAAACACTATCGTAAAAAGAAACAAAACTCCACTGAGCAATCACAAGTTGATAGGTGGAACAGCCCAAATCAGCTTCTGTATCTGGTTCATATCGTCAGAGTCCCATCCACCACTGGTTACGTCCTTTGCCAACCCAGTCCTGATGAACCGATCAATGTCGTCATTTGAAAGCATGAAATCCTTGGCTAAACCTGTCTTCCAAGGTTTCCAATCCACCTCAGGGAGCGTTATGGACGAAAGATGCCTGATGTATGCCGCCCAGAACCTTAGCCACTCAGAAGGATATGCATCCACTAATGCCCTGAACATGCGATAGATAGTGGCAGACGTACTTAGCGAATTATTGTGCCGTATCCAGTTTCCGAGCAAAATGTGCACCCTAAGAAGAGTAAGGCTGCTCCGAGAACTGCTACTTGAAGTTGATGTTCGGCTTGAGCGGTCGTCTGATTCAACAAATATGGGCCGTAAAAACTCATTTCGGGAGAGGACTTTGTAGTTTACATTGACGTACTTGATTGATGGTGGAAGAGACGGCAATTTAAGGTCATAAATAACCTCATTGATCTTATGCATCTGGAAGCAGATACCCTGGATGACCTCTTTCACCAAAAGGATAGCCGTAAGACGATGCTGCTGCAGGCTAAGCAATGCAAGGGAACTCGTTGGAGAACTGGTTCGATGTACCTTCGGAATTCTACCAATCCCCTTGATAGCCGACAATATGCTTATTAGGCCGCCTGTTGATGTTGGCGCCGCAGGTGCTGCAGCTTCTGAATGACCAGCCTGTCGTTTCAGAGCAGCAAGCTCTCCCTCCAGGGCGGTCACACGTGATTTCCATTGTGAAATCTCCTGGGAAGTTGCCTGCTTCTCCCTTTCCATTGCAGCG